TTTATTTACTTATCTTCAGAAAGAGAGGAAGGGAAAGAGAAAGGGAGAGAAGCATCAATGTGAGGGAGACATCAATTGGCTGCCCCTCATTGGCGCCCCGACAGGGACCGAACCTGCAACCCGGGCATGTGCCCAGGCAGGGAATAGAACTGGCGACCTTTTGCTTTGTGGGACAACACCCAACCCACTGAACCACACTGGTCAGGGCAGACGCAGTAATTTAACGACCATGAGAGGCACTGAGAACCATGTAAATAAGCCAATAAATACATCCCAAATCTGATTCCTCGTGGCCAAAGCCATGAGGTGCCCACGGCTGCTCCCATGCTAGTGGCACACACAAGCATCAGAGGGGATGCAAAGTGAAAATGGAAGTGATCTTAACTGATTGTGTTTAAAATATCTTACTTTTGTAAAATTTATGACAACACACAACCACATGAACATATTGTGAGGCCCCTGCCAGGATCTCAGAAGGGGCCCAGACAGGTGCAGGCCGAAGCTTACATGTCATAAGCTCTGTGGCAAAGGCAGCTCTGCTGCCCTCAGCACTTCTGTGGGCACCCTGGCTGCAGGGCAAGGCCCGCTCAGCTCGCTACCCCTCCACTGCCCAGCCACCCAGCTGCCCAGCCAGGCACGGAGCGCACTGCGGTCCTTTCCGCCTCCTTTCGTGAGTGCCTGTGCTCGGCCGGCACCCTGAGCTCCACTTCCTTCTCCCGCTGTGGTTAGGTCGTGAGGGTGGAGCCCTCAAGAATGGCATTAATGCCTCTATGATGAGACATGCGTGACATGGTTTCTCTCTCCAAATGTGAGGAGGCAGAGATGTCGGCAGTCTGCAGCCCTCACCAGGCCACGGCCCTGCTGCACCGGATGCCGGCGTCCAGGCCCCAGAACTGCGCTCCGCAGGTGGCATCTGCCCTGCGTTTGTGTCAGAGCTGCTGGCGGAGAGAGAGCAGGCGAGGGAGCGTCCTGGCACCCTGAAGGCTAGGGCTGGGGCGAGGCCTCTGCATTACTGGGGGCCATGGGAACCAAGACGATGGAGGAGGCCACACAGTGGTCCTGTGTCCCCAGTCGGGAGGACCGAGACGGGGCACCGGGCCGGGCCGGGCCGGGCCTGGCTGGCCTCCTGCCGGCTGCTCTGAATCTGGCTCAGGCACAGAAGGCAAGGTGAGCCCACCAGCCTGGCCCGTGGGGCCCAGACACCGGGAGGACTGTCTGTGCCGGCCTGGCCCTGCCTGCGGAGAGCACGACCCAGGCGGTATGGCCGCAGGGCAAGCCCCTCAGAGGGCAGGCCAGAGCCAGGCCTGCAGCACTCTGGACAGGGCGGGGCTGCACCCAGGCATGGGAGGCACGCGGTTGGGTCCTCCCCCGTCTCCACCACCACGCAGCCTCCGCGGGGCCGCGTGTGTCAACCACGTCTTTCCTGGACCCTGCAGGGGCTGCCTCTCCAGAGTTGGCCATTTCCTAGAGATGGTGAACAGCCAACCCGAGGGCATCCCTTGGATGTGCAAACCCCCTGGCCAGAGCCCCTACTCCACCCACCTGCTTCACGGGCTCTGACACTCTGGGCCACTAGCCCTTACCGCCCTGAGACAAGTGCGGAGGACCGGGGCAGCCCCTGTGCCCCAGCGCCCACGGAAATTACCCACACCGGCCAGTCCTCCGCCTGCTTACCCAGCCTCGGCCTCAGCTGCTCTTCTGTTGAAACCCTAGTCCCCCCACACCACCCTCCACCTGCCTCCTGACCCACGCGGCTGCTTCCAGGTGTGCCCCTCCCCGGAGGCACTGCAGGGTGGGGGTGGGGCTCCTCCTGAGACCTGTGAAGAACACATTAGCTTTTCAATGGCCACTTTCTCCCGTTGGCTTTACTCTACCTGACGTTTTCTGGTAACACACTAATCCTCACACACCGAGCTCCTCTCACCAGCCACACTTGCACCCAGCACAGCGCACCCCAACACGCCCCTGCCGGCAGTGGGGCTCCCTCGCTCCGGCCCTCCGGCTGCTGCCGGGTCACTGACCGGGCGCCTCCTGAGCTCCCCCTCAGGCCACTCCCCATCCACAGCCTCACCACCACGTCACAGTCGTGGCTGACCCCACAGACAGCAGGCCCTGGGGAGGTGGAGGGGCCGGATACAGGGAATGAACGCGCAAATGAACGAGGAAGTGGAGGGACGTGTGGGGGGCTGAGGGCCATGCAGCCTCCTCGGCCTGATCCGCAGGTCCACTGCCCCCTTCTCTGGCCAAGGGCAACGGGTTCATCTCTCCCTTCTCATCCACACCTGCCCCCTCAAACGCCACTCCAAGAGAGGGCTGCACGCCCACTGGCCCCGGTTCCTGCGCCTGACCCCCTCGGCCTCTTCTCGCCCAGGCCCACGGTGCTGAGCGCCCACAGCAGGCGCCGCGAGCAGACGGTGAGACGCGAGAGCCACGGACGAAAGGCTCATTCCACACTCTGCTGCTTCCCTCCACGCCCTCTCCGTGCACAGAGAACAGAGACAGAGCCTCCATCTCCTGGAAACAGCGTACACACGCTCTGTGTGCGCGCAGGGGAGCGAGGGGGCAGTGCAGGCTGAGGGACAGTGTGCTCGGGGTGGCCACCTTGGGGTGTGGACAATGAAGGTCCCAGGCTGTGACCAGAGCCTGAGCAGGGGGGGACCCCTGCTGAGGGGCCCGAGGGAAGGGGGGACAAAGGGACAGAGAGGGACAGCTGAGCCCAGCACAGTCTGAGATGAGGTGCCATTTCTCCAACCTGGTCCCTGCTCTCCTTGCCCCGGTGGCTTTTCTTGCAGCAAAGTGGGAGGAAGGGATGACTGACTTCCAAATATAAAATTATACAATAATGAGTAAGGTACCGACACAAATGCACTGAGGTGCAGGATGCTGATGGCCCCCAGAAGGTGCCCCCCTTGCCCCTGCGTCCCCACTCTACACTGAGAATCCCTGGTTTAGGGATTTTCAGCCTGTGCTCTTGTGAACCATGGCAGGCTGGCCTGAGCCCCAGCTCTGCCTCCTCAATCAGCATAGCTCTGTTTTTATTTTTATTATTATTTTTTTAAATACAAAAACGGCAATTTTATTTGCTGGGCTAAATTGACAAAGGGCCCTACCACCAGAAAGAGTGCAGGCCATGGCGGGGTCAGTGGTTTCTGTGAGGAAGGGGCTCTTTGCCCATCTGCCCATCTTCCTAGCCAGGTGCCCCCCCTGCCCCGCCCCGCAGGAGGAGGGGCCGTCAGCCGGGGAGGCGGGCACTCTCCGACCCACCTTCTCCCGGTGGCCGGCGCCTGCGGGTGAAGGCCAGCCAAACTCCGGGGCAACACGCCTGTGCAGGGCCTGCCTCCCGTCCCGGCGCCCTCCCCCTGCCCAGCGTGGTTGGGAGGGGTGGCCTGGGGAGGAGGCCGTGCCGAGCTGGTCTCCCCCTCCAGATCCCACTGCCCTGAGACCCCGCGGGGGCTGTGGCAAGTGTTTTGGGGCCCCGTTCCCTTTGCTGAGCTCCTGTGGGGAAGAGGGCTGTGTGGTGAGCACTGGCATTACAAGGTCCCTGGCGTTCTACGACCAAATGTCCCTCCTCCAACTTGTACCTGCTCATTAAGTCTGGGGGCACAGCCAGATCACCTGGGCACCTCTTAAAAATATCAACTCCCTGGTCTTCAAACAAAACTTGCTCATGACGTTCAGAGCAGCCCATTCGCAAATACCAAAAGGTGGAGATAACGCAAATGCTATGACGGGCAAACAGATCAGCACAGAGCGGTGCGGGCGGACAGTGGCACCGTGACTCGGCCACAGAAGGCAGGGAGCGCTGGCTCAGGCCGCAGCATGGGCCAACCTTGAAAACATGTCGCTGAGTGAGGGAAGCCGGACACACAAGGCCACATGTGGTGCTCCCAGTTACATGAGATTCCAGGAGAGGCAAGTCCACAGAGACTGAGAGTGTACTAGTGGTTGATAGGGGCTGGGGAGAGGAAGGGAGTGAAGAGTCACCGCTTCACGGGCTCTCCTTCCGGGGCAATGAGAAATTCCGGAACTGTACGGAGGTGATGTAAGTAAACACTACCGTATTGCGCACTTTAAAGTGGTTAAAATAGTGCATTCTATGTTACTTGGACTTCGCCATAATTTCAAAAATGACAGAAACAATTCCTGATCCTAATTGCAAACCAAAATCTGCAGGGTTGGGATGGGGGATCTGTAGCTCTAAGAAACTATACCATGGACAACATAAAATTAAGCAGAATTTAAGACCCACCTGGCCATCCAGTTCATAGGAACTTCAGGCCATCCTATGTGGGGACTTTCTAGGCCTGGGCTGGAGTCCACACCCCTCCCCGACGAGGCAGGTGCAGGTAAGTGTGGCTTCAGTAGGCTGAGCCCTGGTGGGCTGGGACAAACGGCTAGGCTCATCTGCATAAGCCAGACCCCTAGCAAGGGATTGGCCGAGGTGTGAGTGTGAGGTTTCATCTGACACAATGGGAATCAGGCCCGGAGTCAGGAGAGAAAGTGCTGGGAGGGTCTCTAGGCTGATTTGCGGGAGGTGGGAAGTGGGCCTGGCAGATGGCGGTGAACAATTACTGACCGACTTTGAGGGGCAAGTCTGCCCACCAGGGCGCAAACACAGAGGTCTTGGAGATGGACAGGCTAAGCCTGACGCTGGGCCTGGGGACCCGGCAGCCCCCAGACTCCAACGCTGGCCTCAAGATGAGACGACTGAGGCACCCACAGTGTGCAGCAGGCTGAAGACTGCTGGACCCCCAAAACTGCTCCTCAGAGGCAGGGGGGCTCCCCTGGCGGGAGGGCTCCCTTGAGGAGCTCCGAGAAGTCAGGTTTGCTCTGACAGAACCAATTGTGCGCGGGGAGCACAAGGGCCTGAGCCGGGGAGTGACGCGAGGAAGGGGGCCGTTATTAGAAAGGAGATGGGGAAGCCCCCCCGCTCCCGATCTGAAAGGACCGTCCCTGGAGATCTGCGTGTGCCTCGGGGCCTGCCGTCTGCCCGGACTCACCTTGCCAGGCGCACACACAGTCCCGTCCAGGGGGGGCCCCTTCTTGGTCTTACAAAAGTAGGGGTTGTCAGGGTGGCTGCACCACAGCTGCTTGCAGGGGTCGAAGGTCCGGAACTGAAAGAGAACGGCAGCCGCTGGTCAGGGCGCCCCCCACTGGGGACCCTCTTCCCAGAGTCCTCTTGGACAGCTGTGCGGCCAGGCACGGCCTGGCTGCCTGGGACAGGCCTGTGTGGCCAGTGGTGCCCTGAGCTCCCTGTGATTCTGAGGCCACGCGGATCTTGGGCGCACGCGCAGCTGCGGATTCAAGTCCCTGTGGGCTCTGGGGCCTCCCCAGGCCCCACCCTGATGGCTGCCCTCCACGGGGCCTGGGCAGACTGCCGGGAGCCAGCGTGCCCGCCATGAGGGCTGGGTGGGCGTCCCTCTGCCCAGGGGCTGTCACCACAGAGCCCTCAGGTGGCCCCTGACCCTGTGCTGTGGACTCGACCTCTTGAACCTCGCCCGAAGCCCTCCCCTCTGCTCTGCCAGGCCCTGCCCTGTCCTCCGGACCTCCCAGGGCCTCTTTGCCGACCTTCCTGCTTCCTATCCTGAGAGCCCTTCCTCCAGGGCACCCCTGCGGGGCGCCGCCAAAACTCAGACCTGGCCGTGGCACCTCCCTCTTCAACTTTCCCAGGGCGCCGCATGGCCCACCACGGTGCTCAGGCCCTCGCGCAGCAGGTCAGACAGCTCGGGACCCGGGCCCGCCCCTGCTGCTGTGGGCTGTGTGGCCTTGGCCACTCTGCCTTGCCTTTCCAGGCCCCCAGCTCCCCTCCTGTAAAATGGGGATACCTTGCTGACCTCTGTGCAGGGGAGGTGAGCAGAGTCAGACGTTGACAGGCACGAAGGCTCTTGCCGTCCCACCTCCCGCTGTGGGGGCCGCGGCCAGCGATGCACTCAGTTTTGAGGGTGCTGGCGGCCCCGCCCTGGCCCTCCGCCCTGGGCAACCACAGGCTGCCCCCCTGTGTGCGATGTGCCCACACCTCTGGGCCTTTGCATGTGTGCTTCCTTCCTCCAGAATGCCCTGCCCTCCCACTCTGCCTCACCCCTCACCTCTTCCTTGGGAAGCCCTCCTGAGCTCTGCAGACCACGCAGGGCCTCAGCAGGCCCCCACCGTCCCTTGCTGAAGCCCGGGCCGCGGCCCTCGCCAGTTGTGTGCTCCCTGCCCAGGACCACGTCAGGACGGGCGCGGGGCGTGCCTGGGTGCCGGCTCCGACACTCACCGCGGTGCACATCATGTAGCCCAGGCCGAAGTCGAAGCGGCACTGCTCGTTCATGGAGTAGTGCAGCCCGGGGAGCTGGGGCAGCGCCGGCCAGTCGTGGGCGAAGGGGTCATCCCGCAGGCAGTCATAGGAGCTGTGAGGGGACACGGGCGCTGCAAGCTGCCTTCAGCCGGACTGGCCGTCCGGCCTGTGGGGCGGCGGGGGCCCCTTCTGGAGCCAGCTGGTGGGCCTGTCTGCACACTCCCGCTCTCGGCTGCACTGCCTCAGTTTCCCTGCTGCACTTCTGTGCCTTTGGGCAAGTTGCCCAGGGTCTGGTTCACCCAGGTCCCAGGTGTCCATTAAAGACGCCCCCCCCACAGCGGGATCCCCCCCACTGACCTGCGCTGCTCTCTCCCTCCTCTCCCCTGTGCCTCGAATCGGAGGACCCACGGTGTGGGGGCTGGCGCTGGGCCCGGGCGCACCAGGACACGCACCTTCCTACAGCTGAGCCCCGGGCTCCAGGCTGTCCTCGGGGGGACGGGGCGGTACTCACTGCAGGTAGCGGCTCAGCTCCTGCTGGCTGCAGCGGGACCAGTGGAAGCGGTGGAAGGCCGCCTGCACCAGGGGCGCCATGATGCTGCCCAGCCGGACCTCGTCGCCACAGCGGTTGCCCTGCCCGTCGTGCTCCATGCCCAGCCTGCGCGGGGAGCCAGGGCAGCCGCGCTGAGCCCTCGCCTGCCACACGGCCTGGCGGCTACGCCCCAGCCGACCTCCCTCCACGGGCCGCCTGGCCTTTGCTGTCTGGTCTGCCCTGTGCCAGGGGACAGCGGGGTTCCACAGGCTGGAGTCTTAAAGCCAGGGGCGCCCTGGGGAGACGGCACCCGGCAGCATGCCCCTCAGTGCCCTGTCCCTGTCCCCGAGGCAGGCATGGTGGCGCGATCATGCGGTGCAGGCAGAGGTGGCGTGGCCTGGCTCTGCACACGCCCCGCGTGGCGTGGCGCTTCCCACCGGTGCTGTCCAGCCCCAGCAGCATCCAGGTGGTGCTCAGGGCCTCCACGCCCCAGCTCCGCCTCTGCTCTGGGCCAGCCTCCCTGGGAGCCCCAGTTACTTGTCTGTAAACTGGGGTGATCTGCGGGAGACCCCAGCGCCTGCTGGGCCTGTTCTTTGATCTGTTCCCTCAACAGAAAGTCGGCCTTGAGCTTGCCCTGCGCAGCGCTGGGAAGACCAGCCGTCACACCCTAGTGCGTTCCACGCGGGGCGTCTCCCTCTAGGGCTCAGAGACGTGGGGCCCCTCAAGCAACCTTCCCCAGACAACCAGGGCGGTGAGTCCACTTACACGTGGCCGGTCTCGTGGGCCACCACGAACGCTGAGGAGAAGCCGTCCTCATGGTTCAGGGTGCAGCTGCGGACGGGGTGGCACATCCCGGTGACAGGGGCATAGCCTGGGAGGAGACGAAGGGTGGCTCCAGCTCCGGTGCCCCATCGTCCCCAGAGCAGAGTCGCCTGCCCGGGGGTGACAGCTCAGGAGCCCCCGCCCCTCAGCTCCCGTGCCTGGGTCTCGCCTGGCAGGCTTTCTGCCACCGCGGCCCCTCACACCTGGAGTCCCTTTCACGCCACCTCCCATCTCCCCACGTGGCTGCGGGACCTGGAGGACCCAGCTGGGCCCACTCCCACAGGGCGCAGAGGGCTGCAGTGGGGCGGGCCTGCGAGCGGCTCCAGGGCGCAGCCGGGCCACAGACGCCAGAGGCCGCACGGCTGCAGACGACCCTGTGCCCTGGCTGAGAAGACCCTGTGCCAAGTTCCTGCCAAGCGGTTCCCTCCTCCAGGGCCACGGGGCAGGTGCTCCCAGAGGGAGGGAGGGCGTGGGGGGTGGTGGCCGTGGGGCACGCCCCTGACAGAGATGCACAGTGACCCTTCGGCCGCCCCACCCGGTCACGCGGCTCTGAAGGGACCGCTGAGCTCACGGATAACAGAGAGATGGCAGCTCATTGTGCCAATCCAGCGACGCCTTGTGGCCCTGGGAGAGGGTGACCAGCTGGGAGCAGGGACAGGGCTGAGGGACCAGCGGGAGAGGCTGGGGGCCCTGAGGTGGGAGGCTGAGCCCTGCTGGCTGGAGGCTGTTCCAGGGTTTCTTCAGAAGCTCCACTGACAGGGGGAGCACGTGGGAGGCCTGGCGCTGAGACCCCACCCGAGACAGCAAACTGGGAAGTGAGGCCCGCCATTTGGCCCTGGGCAAGATACGGAAGTGGAGACGGAGCTGCTGGTGCCACAGGGGGACCTCTGCTGTGGCGCCTGGGGGCCTGAGAGGCCCACAGAGCGAGGGGCCCTGCACAGGGAACCCCGACCGAGCTGCGCTGCCCCTGCACCCAGGGGAGGCCCGCGGGAGCGCCGTGAAAGAGAAGGGTCGAGAAGAAGGGAAGAAAGTGTGCTGGCCGTGGACTCGTCAGTGCAAGCACGGCGGCCCGCGCGTGGTCCTTCCCCGGGAAAGGTCAGGAAAACCTGTCTTTCCATGTGTTTCACTCTGTGGATTTCGAGATGACTGTTCTTGAATCCGGGTGCCAGGGCAAAGCTTGGGCGGCTTCCCCGGCCTTTGTCCTTTGCACGCCCGCCTTGCACGTGAAGGCACGCCTCCTGCAGGCGCTTTTGGCGCCCGCCACTCGTGATGTGGGCCTTTGTGGCCTGAAGATTTTAAAAAGGATCTTCATCTTTTTCTTTATATCCTTCCCTCTTGTTATATTTTGCTATTGCTGTCTCTTTCTGGAAATCTTGTTAGATACATATTGTACCTCCTGAATTTTCTGTATCTCCTAACTCTTTTCTCAGATTTTAACCTTTCTGGATGTCCTGACTTTGTACCTCAGCTTTTGAATTTTCTGTTTTACCCATCATATCTTTAATTCCATAAAAACTCTTTCAATATTGCTCTCTAATTCTTCTTAGCAACCTGTTCTGGGTTTATGGGTGTATTTTCCTAAACATTCTGGGAATATTACTTTTTAAAGTGTTTTTTTTTCCATTTTCTAAATTGTCTCTGTTTCTTCTGAAGTCAGTTTTCTGATTTTGTTTTCCAACTTGGTACAATTTTTAAAAATGTTTGGTAATCCTCGGCTGTCCTTTCACATTTTTAAATGAAGGATGAGGTCACTTAATACAAAAGTTATCTCTCTGCGGGGCAGTCTCTCCCCACGGGAGCTCGCGCCTGCGCAACGAGGCTGACAGGGGGCGCCATGGGCCAGCGGGCCACACTGCTGCAGGCCTTGACGGGGCACCAGCAGCCGCTCAACATGGAGAGCCTGGCACCAAGCAGGAGCCTCGCTCTGTGCCCCGTGGGGCTGGAGTCCCAGCCTCTGCTCCCACCTCCGTCCTGTTGTGGTGCCGGTCGGTGTGGCAAAGGGCGCCGTCCTCGTGTCAGAGGTGGCTTATTGACATAAACGCACCTTCTTAGCCTGCCCCGCATTGCTTGAGAAGTCTCCCTAGGTGTGCAAACAGGGGCAAGTGGCAGCAGAGGGAGCGGAGCAAGATGCAGAGCGGTGAGTGTAACAATGCGGGGAAGAGGGTGGGGAGGGGAATAAACATGAATATGCTTGTGTTTATAAAAAGGATTCTGGGATGATCAACCAGAAGCTAATTAAACATGGCTATCCAGTCCCGGCCGGGTAGCTCAGTTGGTTGGAGTGTGGTCCTATGGACCAAAAGGTTGCAGGTTTGATTAACGGTCAGGCACACGCCTAGGATGTGGGTTCAATCCCCGAGTCGGGGCGCGTATGAGAGGCAACTGATCGATGTTTCTCTCTCACACTGATACTTCTCTCTCTCCCTCTCTCTCTAAAAGCAATGAAAAAATGTCTTTGGCTGGGGATAAACAAATAATCATCCACAGAGGACAAAGTGGATGAAATGGTCCACTCCCCTGAATAAATGCTCTTTCTTTTGAAGTGCTGTTTATGTCCATAAAAATGCACAAGTCATAAGGATACGACTAGAGAGTTATCACGAAGTGATCACACCTGTGTGGGCACCGCCCCGGTGGCGAGATCACACTGTCCTCATGCTGCAGAAGCCCCTTCCTGGGGCGTGCCCGCTCCTCCCCTCTCCCTTGGCTTTTGCAACCACAGGTCAGTTTGCCCACCTCCACAGTGGAAGTAAATGGCGCCCTAAGTCAGCAGCTTCTCTGTTGGGCTTTCCACTCAACACTCCGTGTGTGAGACTCACCCCCGTGTGGCGTGTAGCCCCGGCTGTCGTCACTGTGTGGCTGTATCTCTACCTACTTGCCTGTCGGATCTAAGTCACTCCATGTTTAAGGGTCATCGTGAGGAATGCTGCCCCGGACACTCCTCTGTCACCTTTCGGTGCACACATGCCTGCCCCTCCGGTGGGTGCATGTCAGGCGCGTCACTGCTGGGCGCATTTGGGCTCGGCTTTAATCAATGCTGCCCAACAGTTTTCCAACATGGTCACACAGTTTGCACTCCTACCACAGGGGCAGGAGAATCGCCCGCCCCGTCCTCGCCAAGGTGTGGGGCTCTCAGTCTTTTTTATTCTAGCCATTCTATTAGGCGTGCCCCGGATTCTGGGGGCAGTTTTGATCGCATTTCTCTAATGTCTACTGAAGTTGAGCATCATTTCATATGTTTATGTTAGAGATCATTCATATTTTGTTAGGGGCCTGAGAAAGTCTCCTGCCCATGGTTCCACTGGGCTGTTTGATTACCATTGTTGTTGTTGACCTGTCAGAGTTCACATGTTTCAGATATTTTTTTAGTAGATACAGTATATGTATTGAATATTTTTCCCCAGTGGACTAACGATGTTTTTAATGAAGAAAAGTTTTAAATGTTAATGTGGTAATATTTATCTTTTCTATTGTGTTTAGCTCTTTTTATCTTTTTAAAGAAGTCTACTCTTCAAAAATATGGAGATATTCTAATATCATTTTCTATTCCTATTACTATTTCACCTTTCACATGCGGATGTAAAATCCACTAAGGTAGGGTCTAAAGCCCCCACAGACCGGCTGTGTGTATACGGGGGAGGGCTGCCAGCTTCACTCTTTCCCCAGTCTGGGGAGTCAGCTGGCCCTGCGCCACTGGGGAGATGCCGTCGTCCCCTCTGCCCTGCCGCGCCACCTTCGCAACCAACCAGGTTCACGTCGAAGTCCAACGCTAGACTCTCTTCTGTTCCAATGACACCTTTGTCAGTCCTTGTGTCAAACCTACACTTTGAACTACTGTATTCTTGGAAGTATTGAATACTTTGATTATCTTCGTCAATTGTTCCGGGCTATTTGTGGCCCACTACATAGACATGTCTGCATAGACATCGGGGTCGACGTGTCAATACCTGCAAGATACCCTGCTGGAGCTGCGCGGCCCCCGGGCACGTGGTGTGGCCCTGCTGGCTGACTGGGAGAAGCTGGTCTCCGGGCCCCAGGGAGGCCCCGTCCACAGGCAGGCACGCCCTTCATCGCGTCAATGGTGCAACCTCGGTCGGCACGTCTCACAGTTTTCTGGTCTTGCACATACGTCCTTAGACTTACTCCTAGGTATTTGCTGTTTTTTGTTCCACTATAAGTGACACTAATTTTTACAATTTAATTTGTTTGTTGTTAGCCTACAGAAATTCAGTTGATTTTTATATATTGACATGCCATCCAAAAATTACTTAATAATTTTAATGATTTATTTTTAGATTCCTCTGGGTTTTTGTTTTTTTTTTATGTATACAAGTATATCATCTTCAGATGCGAGTCAGATTTTTTTCTTCCTCGTTCTTATATTTTTATTTTTTCCTTGGCTGGGACTCCACCGCAAGTCTAAAGAGAAGTGAAAGCAGGCGTCCTTGACCATCCTCGGTCTAGGAAAAAAGCTTTTACCATGTTGCCTTTACAGTTTTTGGGGGGTAGTGATCCATTACCACATTAAGAAAGTTCTTCTAGTCCCAATTCAACAGGACATTTGGTCATAAAAGGATTTTGATTTTTGTTGAATACTTTTTCTGGATCAACTGAGATGATCAATTGGATAAATTTTTCTCCTTTATTCTGTTAATGTGGTAAATTACAGTGATTGATTTTCAAATGTTAAACCTTGCATTTCTAGACTACAGTGAAATTTATTGTAATAGAATACTTTTAAAAAATATAGCACCAAATTTGATTTGCTAATATTCTGTTTCAGATTTTATATCTATATTCATGAGAGAGATTGGCCTGTAATTTTTCTTATAGTGTCCTTAGATTTTAGTTTCAATGTTAGCAGTCCTCATAAAATTAGTTGGAAAAATGTTCCCTTTTTCATTGTGTAGAGTTTGTATATAATTGGTATGATTCTTCCTTAGGACTTAGGAAGAATTTTTGGGTAAAACTATCAAGTCCAGGAGTTAACTTTAAAGGAAGGCTTTTAGTTACAAATTCGATATTGAGACTATTCAGGTTTTCTATTTTTTCTCAGATTTTATGTTTAATCAAGAAATTTGTACTTTTCACCTAAATCAACAAATTTATTGACACAAAGCTGTTCAAAATACTTTCTTAGTATCTTACAATCTTTTTAAAGTAAAATTTGTAGTGGTGATTTTAGTACATTTGTATTTTCTTTTAAAAAATTAGTATTGCTAGGGTTTTTTTTTTTGTTTTAGTATGTTTTTCAAAGAAGCAAATTTTAGTTTTATTTTTTTCAACCACACTCTTGATTTTCATTTCAACTCTTATCTTTAAAATTTCCTTCCCTGTATTTTTGTGAGTTTAGTTTGATGTCCTTTTTCAAATTTCTTGGGACAGGCGTGTCTCTGACTGATTTTTTGGCCTTTTTTCCCTAATAAAGGCCCAGAAGGCTATAAACATCATTCTAATCATTGTATTAGCTACTTCCACAAGTTTTGATATGCCATATCGTCCTTGCCATTCAGTTTAAAAGTATATTCTAATTTCTACTGGTATTTCTTCTTTGAACCATGAATTATTTATGAGTATAATGTTTAATTTCCAGGCAGTCATAATTTTTCAAGTTACCCTTCTTTTCTGTTTGTTTTTGATCTTCTACATTCTGTCTAGACCTCCCTGTGGCCCAGCATAGTCTGTTTGGGTCTGTTTTTACGTGTGCACATGGGAGCGGGTATTCTCGGGTTGTTTGGTATAGTATTCTATAGGTATCAGTTAGGTGCTCTTGTTTAATTCAAATCTTCTGTATTTGTGCTGATTTTCTTATGTTGTTCTTTCCATTAAAAAGGAAAATACATTAAAATCTTCAGCTGTGGTTGTAGACTCGTCAATTTCTTCTTTTAGATTTGTTAGTTTTACATCGTTTGAATTTTTAAGTAAAATCTCTAAAATTTTAATGGCTAAAATCTCCTTCCAATTTGTGTTTTGAAACTGGGGCAGCAAACAACTCTCAGGCCCGGCCTCAGGTCCCCCGCCTTGCCGCCTCGGCGAGCTCCCTGGGGCTGGCGGGGCCAGAGAGGACCGGCAGGGGGCGCTAGTGCTGCCCCCACCCCAACTCCCGCCCTTCCCTGGCCTGGGCCAAGGCTTCCAGGACCCTTGCAGGGCCGGCAGCTCGTGCCCGGCCTCCCGCCCCTCCAAACCCTGGCGGGAGCGGGGCTCACCCTGCATGCCCGAGGGCCCGAAGTCCTGCCGCGTGAGGAAGATGGCGTGGTCATGGTATTCATCGTGGCCCGTGTCCGGCTTCTGCTGGAGGTAGGCCCAGCGGCAGACATTCTCTAGGCTCTGAGAGGGGTTTCCGACCTCGATGAGGCTCATCGACTGCAGGATGGAGAGACGGAAAGGGGGTTAGTGTCTCGCGGGCTCTCTGTGCGCTGAGCAGACAGGCCCCATCCACTGGGGACCTGGTCCAGGGGGCACAGAGGCCCCCGCCCGGTCCTCTCAGGACCTGCTTTCCACTTGGCTCCACTCTTGGCTCCCTGATGAGTGTCTGCTCAAAGTCACTGGGCAGCTTTCAGGTGAGATGTGGCAGCAAAGCTCTGAGGTCCTCCAAGGCCTCAAAGGCTCCACTCAGCTCGCCCCATTTCCAGGGCTCCCTGCATTCTATCGGACACCCATTGGGTGCAGCTCTGGACAGGAGGCACAAGCCGTGTGGCCCTCACCTTGAAGAACTCACAGTCTGGGTTAGGGTCAAGTCCCAGTGTGGCGTGCCAGCCCCGGGAAGGGGAGGGAGCCCACTGTAACGGATGTAGAACGAGGTTCATAAGAGGGTGTAGGCTAAGAAGCCCCACAACCCCCCCACAAGCCTAGCTTGGGGGCTGCGGAAAGCAGCAGCACAAGGATTGAGAATTATTTTGCCTGTCAGTAACAGCAGGCTAGCCTCATAGGAATACTGAATAGTCTTCGTGGGCCAGGGAGAGGGGCATGACTCTGACCGGGGATGTAATGCAGCTGGCCAGCAGCGCCCCGGCTTACAGCACCCGCACCAGAGCCCGGCGCTGGTTCGCGCCACGCCCTGGGGCCACGCCTGCCCGACTAACTGTGGCAGCCCAGAACGGCAGGGAGTGCGGGAGGGCCGGCAGGTGTAGCCGATTGTGGGAGGAGTCGGAAATGGGGTCCCAGAGGTGGGTGCAGGCTGGGATTTAAACAAAAAGGTGGGCTGCCCTGTGGGACGGGGACGATGTGGGACCAAGCAGGACCATGCAGGTCAGTAGGGGTTGAAAGGACTCTGGCCGGCTGGCCGTGAGGAGATGCCACGTGGTTTTGTATTAAGAACTGGAGGTCGCCGCGGCGCAGCTGATGGCGCTGGGAACCGCGGGAGACCTGCCTGGCCGAGCCCGGGCTACTGTTGAGCTGCGGACGTCTGTTTCTTTTCCTTCCGGAAGGCGATACTTCTGACTGGCATGCTCTGAGCCTGGGCTGAGCGGGTGGGCAGGACTGTGTGTTTGTGGTGTATCTTTGTTTCTAAAGGGAGTGAGATTTAATGGCAGATTTCCACCATTATTCTAAACTTCTTTTTAACTTTTAATTGAATAATTCCTTTCCTTTTTACCAAACTCTGGCATTGAGAGCCACAGTTCCTACCGGGGGTGGGCAGAAGCACCACAGAGTAACAAGACCAGGGGGAGGGAGGTTTCTTTAGCACTAGGTTTTCACCCTGTTTCACAGAAAATGATGCTACAGAGACAACCCCCCCCCCCCACTACAAAAACCTACAGCAGACATAGCAAAGGAGCCCCATAAGGCACAGGGCACAGAGCCATGGGGGAGACAGCCCCACGCCGCGTGGGGCGCTGCTGCCTGACAGCCACACTCTGCACCGTGGCATTGCCAGTCCAGCCGCACGGGCACCCCGAGAGGAGCCAAGGGGGGCTGGGAGAAGCCAAGGAACTTCCCCGAGGTCACACAGCTGGAAAGCGGCGTTGAAGTTCAGACCCAGGAAGCCTGAAACCAAAGTCTCCATTCCATCCCCTGGCCTACAGTGGCTCCCTTCCCCGCGGGGTGCCCGCCAGGCTGAGGGTCCTACACGCTCTCTTCCTCCTGGCCGCACGCCCGGCTGTCGAGCAGGTGCAGGCACTCTGCGGTGGGCTGTGCGGGCATTCTGGTGGCTTTCTCCCACAGCCACACCCCGCAAGCAGAGCCACACACCTCTCCCTGTGTGGACAGGTCTGGGGCGCTGTGGCTGAGCCAGGACGTCTCACAGGAGGGAGACGAGGTGAGGGTGGGGTGCTGGCCGCTGCCAGGAGCCTCGCCCGTTGTCCTAGTGAGTGACGTGCGGGAGGCAGACCAGCTCCCAGGTCCCAAGCACAGAGCCCACTGCGCCCGGGAGAGGAGGCCGTTACAAAAAGATACAGTGGGTCCTAATGAAGTAGGTCACAGACCAGAGTGAGAGGCCTGGTGACGCGGACCTGTGGGCACAGGCCCAGCGGCCGGCAGCCCGAGGAGGCGGCAGCTGGGGAGGGAGGCGCACCGCCCGCTGCTCCAGAGGGAAGGGAGCGCGTAGCAGCTCCCGGTGAGCCCCTCCCAGGAGTTTTTCCTCTCCGGACTGTGAACCAGCTGTGAACCAGCAATGTCGGGATGGTGGCTGCTCTGTCACCCAGGCCCCGAGTGACAAAGAGACCAGAGTTCTCTGCCAACTCACCGGACACGCGGCTGAGCTGGGAATCAACATTTGTTGTAAACTGCTGGACCGTGGAGATAGTTTCTGCAGCACAACCTCACCCCGACCCGGTGGTGTGGGGCCCGAGGAAGGCGACCGCAACGCATCTCACCCCGCCAGACCCCATGGGCCAGCCCCGCCCCTGCCAGGTGGCAGCTGCCTCCAGGGAGCCCTGAGAGTCCACAGCCCTGACCAAGGGACCCAGTGAAAGAATCTCCTTCCTAGGAAGTGAGCTGTAGGTGATGAGAAGGAGGGGCCTTGTGGGGGGGGGGGGGGGTGGGACTGAATGTGTTACCAGAGTTCAGGCTTGTGGCTGTGCCCAGACTGCCAGCCCGAGTCCGCAGTGGAGTCATCGTGTTAGACAGGACCAGTCTCAGGGTCTGGCCAGTTCTAAGTGTTATTTCTAAATGTTATTTTTGCTAAATGTTAAAATGTAGCACAGCATTTTGCAGATGCAACTGTAAACAAGATGAGCTCCACAAGAACTCAAACCAGACAGAGTAGCCAAGTGCAAAGAAGAAATCAACGCATAATTGACCAAATAGTGTATATAGGCAATGGCTAAGCTCTCCTGGGGGAGACAGAGCTTTGGATGGGAGCTCCCTCTCCTTTACCTGCTGCAGTAAATAAAGCTGCCTTGAGACAACCAGGTCTTGCTCTTGAATACGGCGCCCCCAGCAGTGAACCCCTTGAATTTGGTGACAGTCACAATGGCCAAAGATGACCGCTCCATCCAGGCTGGCAGCAAAGCCCTGAGTGCCACTCTCTGTTCCTCACAGGCCGGTGATGCGGCTCCGCAGCCTGGCCAGGCCCCTTCAGGAGAACGGCCGTGTCTCCCCGGGGCCGGGTCTCCCAGCCCAATGCCGGGCTATTGTCTGGTGAGACCTCGCGTGCCCTCAGGGACTGCCTAGTCTGGGCTCAGGCCTGGCCAGTGCCAGCTCTGCGTCTGCGTGGCACCGCGATGGTTCAGGGAACACCCACCAGAGTGGGCCAAGGGATCGGAAACGTGGGAGACAGAGAGCCTGGAGCCGTCCCTCCCCCGCAGGAGGCGACCCACCCAAGGAAGACGCCGCCGCAGAGCAGAGCAGGGCCCTGGCCTGGAGGCAGGCTGACCCTGGCGTCCTCGCACACCTGAGGCCTGGGGTTCGCCTGGGCCTGAGAACAGCCTGCCAGCACGCCTGTTTGCCATCCATCACTACAGAACAAGCTCTTCCAGGATTTACAGCTTCAGACCCCCAAACATTCGTTACCTGTGGTTTCCAAGTCAGGAACGTGAAAGCCCCTGGGACAGGGACCTCGGCTCAAGGTGAGCCACGAGATGGCCGGCAGCTGAGGATAGGGGTGGCGGCCTCACCCACAGGCTTCCCCGGGACCCACTGCAGCCCACGTGCACGCCCATGATCGCTGGGAGGTCGCTGGCAGGACGCGAGGCTGAGCCTCGCCACCCCGCATGGCCTTCCCCACACGGCAGCCCACCGCCCCCCGTGCGTGGGGCGCACACCTAGGGCAGAGCCACAGCCTGTGGACACCTGCGCCCGGGTCCTGCCCGCACTGAGCAGAGCAACCTGAATACCAGGAGGCGGGTCGCCGGGGCCACCTTGGAGCCTGCCCACTGCAGCCATGCGTCTCATTTGTGTGTCAGGAGATTCCTCCTTGTGAAAGCTGAGTTGTTACTGTCACTTGCAGCTGAGAGTCCTGCACTTCCTCCTCTGTGGGGACCATGGGAACCCCGTCAAGGGCACTGGCTGGCAGACCAAGGCAGCGGCGGGCCCAGGGTCCAGCTGGTACACCCCACGCCAGTGGGAGAAGAGCTCTGGCCATGTTTTTGAGTGGAGATCAGAAGTTCCAGCTGGAAAGACATCCCTGTGTCAGAGCCGTGGACGAGGGATGGAGCCACAGGTGACAGCCAGGCTGACGCGGGGAGAAGGAGCAGGCTGGGGACGCGGAGACAGACGCTCAGCAGGTGGGTTCGCGTGAAGTGCTGGGAAGGGGTGGCAAACCCAAATGCCAACAAGGCCAAGTTGGGGGTGCGAATCAGTAAGGGGGGTTCTCTTTTCTTTTTTCACTGTGGAAGGGGTGAGCCCTAGAGCAGTATTTTCCATTATGATCAAGAAAGTGGTGGCGGCAGGAGTGGCGAGGCCGTGACAAACCAAGGGGCCCAAGCGGGGACGGGCGGGGCGGGGGCGATGGGGCAGCGCCTGCGGCTGGGGAGCAGGGACAGAGGCGGGAGCTGCTGGCCTGCCTCGCTCCGGCCTGCCTCTGGGTCTGAATCTTAGCGAGAAGCGTCCCCACAGGAAATGTTGGCTCAAATTAAAATAGTTATGTATGTGCATAAAACAAAGCACCCCTGCCAGGCCGCCAGGCTGCGAGGCCTGGAATCAAGGTCCTCGGGAGGACAGCCCTCCTCGCAGCCCCCACCGCCAGCCCGGGCCCCAGCCCCTCTCGCAGCCACAGTGACCTCGCTGCCGCCGCAGGGCAAGTTATTAAAACATCGACTGGCATTTTGCTCTTGCTTCGTCTGTGCTTCGCCCGCGTCAAGAAGGCAGGCCGCCCCTCCCGTTGGTTCTCCAGCCCCTCGGGGTGCGCGCTGCAGAGTCCGGGGCTGACCGCTGGGGACCACCCCCTGGCCTGCTGTCCGCGGGGCCTGCCTTCTGGCCTGAGG